ATGCAAAGTAGTAAGCAAGATGTCACTTGTGACATCATTGCTTACTACGTGTGAAATCTGTGAATGATCACAGAGGTCACATGGTACAAGGCTATTCACAACAGCCTTGTACCATGTGACAAGCTGTGACCAATCACAGCTCACTCAGTACTTCTCAATGACTGCAAGAATGCAGACAGAGAGAAAGAGAAATGAGTGCTTTTACATCCTATATGGGTGCAAAAGCAATCAGTGTAAAAAAAAAAAAAAAAAAATCTTCATCACCCCCCACAAGTAGTACAGTGTCACCATGGTGACACTCTACTGCTAGGGTGACAGTATGTAAAAAAAAAAAAAATAATAATAATAAATAAAAAAATAAAATAAAAATGTAAAAAAAAATGTTTAAAAATTATAATTTTTGGTTATAAACTAATTTGGATTTTTTTTTTTACTAAAAAAATAACGGAATAAATTTTGGCCAAGATTTATGATGAAATATTATTTATTTGCAAAACTTTATAAAAAAAAACACTTTTTTTCAAAATATTTGGACTTTTTCATTTACATAGCAAAAAAAATAAAAAATCCCAGCGGTGAATAAATACCACCAAAATAAAGCTTTATATCTGTCTCAAAAAAATGGTAAAAAATTCATATGGGTACAGTATTGCATGACCGCGCAATTGTCATTCAAAGTGTGATAGTGCTGAAAGCTGAAAATTGCCCTGGACAGGAAGGGGGTAAAAGTGTCCGGACAGGAAGTGGTTAAGGTAAATACCTCTTGCCATGGGGAAGACAATTTTTCACGTTCTCAAATATGTGAAGAAAAGGGGAAGGAGACAGCCACAAAAAAGAAGAAGGGGAAACCTGGGGGCTTTATGGTTAATTTCTAAACACAGGACACTTTGTGAATGTCGTTTTTAAAAAGGTTTCATTGATTTTTGATGGATATGACACTTTATTGTAAGTAGCACATATAGCTGTATATGAGTAATAACAAGTGTAAGATCTATGGGTGTTATATACAGCTGCTGGTAATATTGATTTGTTTTACCATACAGTGCAGGTTAAGTAAAATAGACTTTTTTTCAAATGCTAGTAACGCACATGCTCAAAACATGTACAGTAATACCTCGGTTTAAGAATGCCTTGGTTAAAGTAATTTTCGGTTTACAAATGAAAATCCACTGAAAATAATGCCTCGGTTTACAAATTTTGTATGAATTTTTTTCACAATACGAAGTATATGTCAGTGCTGATTTTTAAATGCAATTGCTGGCTCTTTTTTTTTTTTCTTCACTATAGCTCACAGAATTAGCTGTCACTTTCCCCAAAGTTAACAGAAATGTTGTTTCTTTTAAGAAACTAAAAAGAAACATTGTTTGTCCCCCCCCCCCCTTTCCTGACCTGCCAGGCTGCATGCTCTGAAAAGGGTCTGGTATGGATTTTGGGGAGGACCTCCACGCCATTTTGTTTTAAATTTTGGCGTGGGAGTTCCCCTCAAAATCCATACCAGACATGAAGGGCTTGGTATGGATGGGAAGGGGGACCCCACGCAGTTTTTTAAATTATTTTTTTAATTGCCTGCAATTCTTTTACATTCAGCTGTCTGTGGGGAACCCCGCTGACAGCTGAAATATTAACACTTGGTTGTCACTACTAAAATGCCGCATGACTTGATAAAATAACTCCTATGGGAAACGGCGTTTCGGTTTAAGAATTTTTTGCTATAAGAAAAGTCCTGCAGAACGAATTAAATTCTTAAACCGAGGTATTACTGTAATTAGTATTATAAGCCGTGGCATCAAGGTGTCTTTGCTCATTTTTCTCACCCATTGATTTCGTGTCACCTAAATTATTTTATTTAGAGGTGCGGTGGCACTGAAATGTCATTTCTCAGTGCCATAGACACTAGTGTGCTTGCCGTTTAGTAGGCAGCTTCTGCCTAAAAGTTCTGTGTATTATTTTTTTTTTATTTTATGTGACAGGCAGCAATAGAGATTGAGTGACTGATTGACAGAGACTTTGAAGTTTGTTTTGAGTATCCCGTTAAGCTAGCAAAAAAACAATTCTTTCCATTCTGTCCAGAAAGTCAATATATAAATGTGGAACCAATAAATTCTGCTTATGTTTGGAAAACTTGCAAAATATTTTTTTTAAAAATGCAAAAATAAAATAAAAAATATTAATATAAAAAAGAAAACAGTAGGAAATGCAATATACATATACATATATGCGTTTAGATTTACTAAAACTGGTGCACTCAGAATTTGGTGCAGCTGTGTATGGTAGCCAATCAGCTTCTAACTTCAACTTGTTTAATTAAGCTTTGGCAATAAAACCTGGAGATTGATTGGTTTCTCTGCAGAGCGGCACCCGATTTTGCACTCTCCGATTTTCTTAAATAACCCCTATTGTGACAAACAGTCCTTATTAGTCCAGGGAAGGGTTGTGGATGAAATGTATCTGCTACTTAGGTTCTTGTGTGTCATAATGTAGCGCCTCTCTAGATAGCTAGGGGGAGATAGATAGTAGGACAGGGCTGAGGGCTCTGCAGGTCAGTTCCCTGATACTTCCTCCTGCTCTAGAAACTTGGAGAATGTTCTAGAAGGAGTGGGTAGAGGTGAGAAGGGGCTGGCCTGTACACTTGGGCTTGGCCAATTCCCAAGCAGGAGGCTTGGCATGGGGCCAGGGCAGCCTTTAAGTGTGAGAAAGCCTGCTCATCAGCAGGAGAGTTCAGGTGGAAGATGAAGTGAGAGGCTGAGATGCAGGAGCCTGGGAGGGGCCCATTGGGAAGGGGCATACCTCCAGGCAGAGTTGCTGGAAAGGAGGATCACTCAACCTCAGGATTCCCCTGAGAAAGGACCACCTGTACAGCAGGGAAGGAGCCAGCCCAGCAGAAGGCCTAACTCTTACATCCCCTGGGCCGGATAAGGTGAAAGGGCATTCGGGTGGTAAACTTGACTAGACCCCCATCTGGGACTGTGCATCTAAAGAGACAGATTCTGGGTCCCTTTGCCCAGGGATTCACCCAGTACAGCTGGATAAGGAGAGGATTCATCTGGTGTCTGGGGTGGTATATCGGAAGAGGCTGGACAGCTCTCCAAGAAGAGATTTGCTGTATAGAGCCTTGTACATTGTTGCTAGGGAGTTTTCTTCAGTTGCAGTTCCTTTGGGCATCCCATACACCCCTCAACCCCATCTAAGTTCAATACTCCTAATAAAACTAAAAAAACAAGCTCAAGGACTGTTTTCTGTCTCCAGACATTTGACAGAATTTGACTGTATTCACTGGGTGTGTGAGTTTGTTTATAATGGATACCAAAATGTACTGTCTCACACAGCAATAGATGTACTTGTAGTTTCAATGGATTGCAAGGGTGCTGATGAGCACTCTCATAGTTCATTGACATGTCCTCTGGCTTCCAAGGTATGAGCTGAAAGTCAGAGGACATGTCTGCAGGAGCCCACATTGCACCCATGATCTACTGATAGTGGGTACAATGCTTTTCAGGTTCTTGCTGGGACAAAATAATAAAAGCACATGTTTTTTCTACAAAGAATATGTGCATGTGTTATTTGTTCCATAAAGGTAAACTAATCCTTTAACCTCCCTGGCGGTATTCCCGAGTGTAGCTCGGGGTAAAATGTCTGTACCAAAAGCGGTAACCCTGAGCTACACTCGGGCTTACCATGCGGCGCTGCATAGGGAGTTCCTGCAGAGCTTACCTTGTCCTTCGCTCCCGCGATGTGTCCCCTGTAGCGTCCCCGGCCATCTCCTCCGGCTGATGCCGGCATCCGTCTTCTGTGTTCCGGTCCCTGTGACGTCGGGACGTACGGGCGCCACCGGCGGCGGAAAATTTGAAAATTTAAAAAAAATTTAATTTTTTTCAAAACGAATTTTACATAGTAAAACATTACTGTTTCAAACCATTTCACATACATTTTGTCCCTAGTGCTTCGTCCTGTCCCCTGTCTGCAATTTGATTGTTCCTTCTGCCTGGAAACTTAGAAAAGTCCATGGCGTCCAAAAAGCGTCCCTTTAGGTCAAAATCGGTTTTAGACCGGCTAGAGAACAGCGACAGTAAATCAGAACCACATGCAGAATTGAGTGATAATGATTCGTGGGGAAATTCATCATCAGACACTGAAAACAATTTTGCGACTTTGCTCAGCGATGTGTAAACTTGGCGCTATATTTCAAATTTCAGTGTTTTTGGTTTGATTATATTATTGAATTAAATTTATTATTATTATATTATTATTTTTTATGATTATTTATTACATTATAATTTATGATTTCGTGTTTCAAGTTTTATCCTACCCGGGATGTTTACTAGACTCTTGTTCAGACAGATTTCAGTGAGTTATTCCTAAATATTACAGCCTACAATAAAAAAACTACATATTTCCATGCAAAATAATGGTACCGCTTTCAGCACCAAAAATCTGAAATAATCATACCGCTAGGGAGGTTAAAAAAAAAAACACAGAGTGGCGAGACCTAGCCTCAAAATATAAAATTTTTTTTTATGAAATAGGAAAGATTTAGAATCTTTCATTGTGCCTTAAGAGTACCCTGAAAATTAACCATAAATCTTAAATTCCTTATGAAAAATAGTAATACACTACCTTGCATGTGAGTGTGCTCAAGCATCCCAATGACTACAGCTTGTGGGTGTGGAGGTAGGCAGGTTTCAAGTTGGCCCCAAACATATTTACTGCACTTTTAGCAACAGCAAAAGCACAATTAGCAAAAAAAAAACAGACGCAACATCTTAGGCAGTTTGTCAACAGGGGTAAACAATATTCATAACATATAATAAAAATGAATCCAAGTTTGTCACATTCTATCTGGACAATAAAATCCCTTTGTAGAAGAAAAAAGAAAGATTTGGGGCCTGTTTCCCACTGCTCCCTCCCCCCACCTTCCAAGTATTCCTCCACATGATGTCCCTCCATGCATACCCTGACTTACCCAAGGTTTGCAAGACTTTGAAAGATTGTGAGAGAGACACTATAAAGTTAGCTGCCTCCACTATAAAGACTCATCAGGGCAATATCATGGATGACTCTAGTTTCTGAAGTACACAAGTCACCCTTTCCTGGTCAAACTGACCTTCCCTGCACATGTGTAAAAACCAGGGGCGGGCTGACAACTCATGGGGCCCCCGCGTAATAGGGGATCATGGGGCCCCTGTGTCCTTGCCCAAACTCAAAAAAGCCTATGAAAAAGGTACCAGGGGCATCTCATGGGGCCCCCTACTGACCCCGGGCCCTCGGGCAGTGCCCAAGTTTCCAAATGGTCAGTCTGCCCCTGGACTGACAACTCATGGGGCCCCTGTGTCCTTGCCCAAACTCAAAAAAGCCTATGAAAAAAGGTACCAGGGGCATCTCATGGGGCCCCCTACTGACCCCGGGCCGTGCCCAAGTTTCCAAATGGTCAGTCCGCCCCTGGTAAAAACATTCTGGGTTATCAGACATGTGTTTTTGCATTTAAGATGGTAATAGGCAATGTGACATATGAAATCAGCTCTGATAAATAAGGCTATTGAAAGGAAATATTAATCTCCATTTATTTATCCTTTACCATCTATAAATGCAGAAGATATTTATAGACCTAACGTACAAACCAATCAGATTTAATAGCAGCTTGTAAATAATAATCTTCTAATTAGAGGAAAATTAAGGTTGCAAAAGTGGGTGGAAATCCATTATTACAGGATAAGGAGAATATAATGGGAGGATTAGATGGCGTTGGTTATGCTAATGTTTGTAGTACTGATTATAATATACAATTTCAAGGGCTCAAGTGTATTTTTCATATACACTGGCCACGTTTCCAGAATGAGACAGTGTTTGGTCCTAGGCTACTCAAATACCATCAGTCTACATGTCATAGATGTCCTAAGGAAGAGGAAAAAAAGAACTCAGCATGTAGTGTTACTGCTTGTAAAAATGTAAGGGGTATATGTTGATTGGAAGGAGAGAAAAGAAGTTTAATTTATATCACATGTGAATGAAAAGGGGATTTAATATCAAGTAGTTCATTCTCACTATCTCTAGCATGTTATCTACTGAATGCAATGGCTTCCGATATACAGGGTGTCCCTAGAGTCTGAACACATTGGAAATATGACAATGGGGTTTATTTACTAAAGCTGGAGAGAGCACAATCAGGCTCACTTATGCATAGAAACCAATCAGCTTCTAACCTCAGCTTGTTCAAATAAGCTTTGGCAATAAAACTTGGAAGCTGATTGGTTTCTATGCAGAGGGGAGCCTGATTTTTCACTCTCTCTCTATATATATGTGTATATACAGGGCCGTAGATAAGGGGGTACCACCAGCCCTCTTGTATGGGGCCCAAGCCATCATTGGGGCCCAGGTAGTGGGGTAAATCAGATGTGGGCAAGGAGGGTGATAGGCACAGCAAGGGAGGATTTCTAGAACCGACCCCCTGTATGGCTCTATCTGCAGTGGCTGAAAGCTGGCTTTTTCTCTTTTCCCTCCTGCTGGCTTTCAGATAGAGCCATACAAGGGATTGGTTCCAGTAATTTCCTTGCTACTAAATATTCCATGGTTAACTGGTATTATAACAAAGTGGAAGCAACTGGGAACAGCAACTCAGCCACTCTAGAGCAGTGAAGACATGTTCTCTGGAGTGACGTATCACACTTCTCTGTCTGGCAATCTGATGGATGTGTCTGGGTTTGGCAATTGCCAGGAGAAAAGTACTTGCCTGACTGCATTATGCCAAGTGTAAAGTTTGGTGGAGGGGGGATAATGTTGTGGGGTTGTTTTTCAGGGTTTGGGCTTAGGGAACGGAACTCTTAAGCTGTCAGCTTACCAAGACATTTTGGACAATTTCATGCTCCCAACTTTGTGGGAAGAGTTTGGGGATGGCCCCTTCAAGTTTCAACATGACTGCGCACCAGTGCACAAAGCAAGGCCCATAAAGACATGAATGAGCGAGTTTGGGGTGGAGGAACTTGACTGGTCTGCACAGAGTCCTGAACTCAATCAGATAGAACACCTTTGGGATGAATTAGAGTGGAGAATGAGAGCCAGGCCTTCTCGCCTGACATCAGTGCCTGACCTCACAAAGGCACTTCTGGAAAAATGGTCAAACCTTCCCATAGACACATTCCTAAACCTTGTGGACGGCCTTCCCAGAAGAGTTGAAGCTTTTATAGTTGCAAAGGGCAGGCCAACTCAATATTGAACCCTACAGACAAAGACTGGGATGCCACTAAAGTTCATGTGTGTGTAAAGGAAGGCGTCCCAATACTTTTGGCAATATAGTGTATATATATATATATATATATATATATATATATATACAGTATATATATATATATATATGGCAGAAAGGAGTTGATTTACTAAAATGTAGCGTGCAAAATCTGGTGCACCTCTGCATAGAAACCAATCAGCTTCCAGGTTTTATTGTCAAAGCCTTGAACAAGCTGAAGTTAGAAGCTTATTGGCCACCATGCACAGCAGCAACAGATTCTCATTGCTCCAGTTTTAGTGAATCTTCCCCCAAAGTAAATGTTTATAATGGACACAATTTCTCTAAGCGTTCTAAATAAAACATGACTATCAAACTTCTGTTTCTTTATTCACGTCTCCTACCTCAGTCTGCTGAATGGACAATAAAAAAAGAACAGATCACACTCAAAGTCATTAACGTGAAACTACACTATCGCTGAGCACCATAAACCAAAAATGCCATTTAATTCATGTTAATATTCAATGCAAACTTCCCCATTCATCCATGTCTCCATGCTTTATTTTGCTAGGAACTCACTTTGAAAAAACACACCCCTAGCATTTCTGGCCACGACCATCTTGAGTAAGGGCAGATAATTCATGTGCCATTTACTTAATGGAATCCCTTTGCCCTTAGTTCAGGCATGCGCAGGAGGTTGTGCTTAGCTGAGAAAGCCCCTCCTCCCCTCCTGAAGTCTTCTAGGAGGTATGATATAATTTGCCTAGGCAAGGAAACCAGGAAGTCACTGAAATGTTAAAAAAAAAGGTTTTTTTTTAAAACAAGTAAATATAACATACCTTCCTATCTATTTACTAATGCTAACAGCATAAGGTAATAAAATAGTCAATGTTGATTGAGAGAGTGAAATTCCACTTTAATGAACTTGCTCTTCCTCTTGCAAGCAGTGTTAGACTGAGAACACTGCATAAAGCACCCTGCCGAAGCTTCCAGTCCCAGTCTATGGTACTGGTTGTATATTCAATTAATTCAATGATTTGTGTAAAGGATACATACCTAGATTAAAGCTTTTTAAATATTTACTTTAAATTCTACTTTGAAATGTGTCAGAAGCAAACACAAATAATAATAGAAAGCAAAGTGTTAAAACCTCATCAGATTTCTATTGATGTTAGTGATATCCACCACTCTCTATCTGTCCTGGTAACCATTGTCAATGTGGCAAAAAGTGATAAGAAGTGATAGAGGAGACATAGGTTCCAGTGACAACTGTCAAAAAGGGAATTTCCCATGAATTTGGAGAAATTTTCCTGTTGTGTTTCATGGGCAGAAAGTGAAATGAAAGATACAGACAATAAAAAAATAAATACATAAAATAAAATAATATTATTGTTATTATTATTATACAGTATTTATATAGCGCCAACAGTTCGCTCAGCGCTGTACATTACAATGGGAGACAATACGTGAGACAGTACAATAACAATACAATGCGATACACGAGGGGATTAAGGGCCCTGCTCCTTGGAACTTACGATCTAGGAGGGAGGGGATAGTGGTACAGGAGGAAATGGCTGTGGGGGATGGAGTGGTTGGAAGAGCGGAGGATAATAATAATAATATTATTATATATTATATTATTATAATATTATTATATTATTATTAGTTCCCTGGTCTCCTCCTCCCATTGCCCACCTCCAGGACTTCTCCAGGGTGTCACCCATCCTCTGGAACTCCCTGCCCCAACCCATCAGATTATCACCTACTCTCCTCTCCTTTAGGCGCACCCTGAAAACCCATCTCTTCAGGGAAGCCTACCCCACCCCCTGCTAACTTGCCGACCTCCTTCACTCTTCCTACCACTCCATCCCCCACAGCTTTCTCCTCCTGTGCCACCATCCCCTCCCTCCTAGATTGTAAGCTCCAAAGAGCAGGGCCCTCGATCCCCTCATGTTTTGCATTGTATTGGTATTGTTCTGTCACATGTTTCTGTTCCCCCTCTGTAATGTACAGCGCTGAGCGAACTATCGGCGCTTTATAAATACTGTATAATAATAATAATATTATATATTATGAGATATTATTATTATTATTATTAATTTTTTATTATTATTATATGTATTATATTATATAATAATTATATAATAATAATAATAGAGACTAATTGCTCTTTAATCCATTAAAAAAAAAAAACCTTGAAAAAACTTGTTTGGCTTTAGATAAGTTTCAACTACTTTTTCCATGACACATCATTATTTTAAAGGTCAAAGTGAGAGAACATTAAACCCAACATAACTCCAATATAACAACAGAAAACAAGTATTCTTTATATACAAAACTTTTTTTTTTTGCTTGTTTTTTTTTTTTTTTTTAAACAACCCAAGCTTTAATTTTTTTTTTCTTACTTGAAATCTCTTGCGATGCATTTCTTATTTTCTACCCTTTTTACAAAATCACCCAGAAGCCTTTCATATGCATTAGGACCCATTACAGTTACGGTCATACCAGTAACATGATCTTTATGTTGTGATTATACAATTTGTTTTTAATGAACATATTCCTATTAAAGGAGATTGCTGAGAGTAAAAGACATCAAAGCAAATCCCTGGGCTGCAAAAGTTGAGCTGAGAACTAACTTTAAATAGCATAGACTGTTAAAAGGAAATACATAAAATTGTAAATGAGCGAGGTAATGTCAACCCTAATTACCTTTTCCATTTTAATGGGGATAATAAACCGAACGGGCATGGTGAGAAATTAGTAAAAAAATCTTTATACCAGATGTGAAGAAGCACCTCTAAAGAACGTTTTAAATTTTGTGAAACGTTTGCCAAGATGGGTAAAATATTTCCTCTTTTTCCATTTAATGAGTTAAAAAAAAAAGAATCCCGTCAATTTAAAATTAGACTATAATTATTTCTAAAGCAGCTGTAGCTATTTTTATTCCTATGTTTTCTGACACCAATTGATGCACTTGCAAGAACTAGGGCAAGGCCAAAATTACCAGGTGGCTGGGTATCACCTATGGCACGGATAAACTATGCTGTTCCCGCTTTTTCTTTTCTCGGAGGTCTCCCCGAGGAATGCTTTAAATTACTTCTTAAGAAATATGGACTTGGAAGCCAGAATGGATAGTTTTCTGCCCTAGATACAGTGTAGCTCAAACCATCTGTTCACTTGTAACCACGTACCTAACATAAATTAACACTCTGTAGTTTGCATTTCAAGGAAATTTTGTACATTTATTCTTTTTTTTCTGAAGAATAAAGTTGATTTTATTATGAAAATGTATTATTATACATTTTAGTAGTAATAGTAGTAGTAGTTTCTTATTATTCAATTTTCTGTCTCACTGTATGGCTTTATAGGTTTTGAAGGTGCTTGA